GTAAGAAGTTGAGTAAAACTAGCTCAATTATTGTTGTTGTAATATCGTAAAAAAAATTTAAAACATTTTTGCTGTCTGTAGTACCCCAATTTTTGAGATATTGAACTGAAATTTTTTACACCTTTTTTTCTCCCCAAGAAGCCGCTCATTGTTGTTGTTGTAACGGCAGAATTCTGCCGAGTTGACAGTCCTTGGCCGGATAAAAATCCGGGTCCGTCCGGTTTTCGTAGACCCGACTGTCGTGGGAACGGGCCGCTCATTTGTCGGAATCACCGGTATCGGGTCACTGAAACATATATCTGCCATACGAACTGAAGGATCAGAATTAAGCGCTTGTATGGAAATTTTTTTTATTTGAAGCCATATCATCACCATAATCGACATGAGTTGTTGCCTAAAACGATAATAAAATCTCCCAAGAAATTGTTTAGATCGGACCACTATAGCATACAGCTGTCATACAAACTGAGTGACCAAAATTCAGTCGTTGTATCGAAAACTTTTGTATTTGACGAGAAATTTTGCATGAAATTTAAACTATGTTGTTGTCCAAGGCTACTACTTAATCTTTGAAAACATTATACAGATCGGATCACTGCATCATATAGCTACCATATTAACTGTACGAACAAAATCAATTTCTAGTATGTAAATTATTTATTTTTTTTTTTGAAGGATATTAACCGAAGGTAACACAATTTTTGTTTTTTTATAGCTTTCCTCACATTTGCCATACCTGCGATATAATTCAATCCCTGACAATAGCCCACTTCGCGATTGTGATGCGCATAGGCCACCAAAATATTGAAGAGACGCTCTTTTTTCGTATCGAAGTGTATATTGTCGGGAAATGTACGAGGTAGATCAATTGTTATGGAATCGCAGATTTCCTTCTCGTAGTGTGCACCCAACAAATTGCGATATAATGTGGGTGAGCGTTGYTGTAGTTTAGCAGCGCCGGAAATTTTCATCCAAACATCAGCACGAAATGGACCTGCAGGAGTAGAMKATTTCTTTAATRAAAAATAAATTAAATTAAATTGAGGACGACAGTACCTGGTATGCCCTTACGTATGTAGCGTTTCAATTTGCTATCGATTGTGGTAAGATCAGCATTGCGTTGCAGGATAGCTTCCCATTTCATGCGACGCTTGGTGAGCGTCTTCAGGTAACCGGACATAAATTGCTCATAATTGCGATAATCGAAATTATCTGAGCGTTTAAAGCCATATTCGTCAACATCGCTGCGGCAAGTAAACAAATAAACTTTTGTTTAATATTACAGATATTACGTATAAAAGTAAATATTTTAGTTAAAATGATAAGCACGATGTTAGTCATATATGAGATAACACTTTTCGGCTAGCTAGATAAGTAATCATTGAATGGAAAGTGCTGCGAACCGTAATAAAGATAATTTATTTAAACTATATAGCGGATAAAAAATTCAAAAAAAATATTTAAAAATCTTATTTTCATCTTTTGAAATCATAAATAAATATTTTTGTTTTTAAATACAAAATTACGATAAGTAACTGCTTGAAAGAAAAAACTACTGTACCGATAAGCTCTCAATTGCTGTTTTAAATCGTTCTTATCATATTTACCACAAATTGGCTTCTATACTGAATTTTAAGTCTAAATATTTAACAATAMCAGAGGCTCTTAACAACAATCGATTGTATGGAGTATAAATTCATCCGTGAATATGTACATGTGTACACTCGTATAATCAATCAAGACAATTATCAAATCAGTTTAAGAAAAAAARATTGTTATCAAACTTATCAAGCGGCCAGTGGTAAAACGGGTTGAAAAGAAATGAGAACACATATATTTAAAGTTATAAGTATGTGTTCTTGTTRCTTTGCTTACACTTAGACACGTCGAGAGGATATATAGTAGCGTAATTAGCATAACGAACTCGTCAAAGGTGGTAAAAATTATTAATTTTACTGAACTTTGTTATAATATAGCTGGCGACTTAGCGCGTGATAAAAATTACAAATTGACTCATATATGTACATGCTTATGTATAAACAATAAAGTCAACGGCATGATTTCTAYTTCCGCTTTAAAAATAGATTTTTTATAATATACGAGTAATATATAAATTTTTTTCACACAATTATTTTATAACATTTGTTATTTATTTGTTTAAAGAAGGATGAAATGACGGCAAAGAACTGACAGTTGCATTGCCATGACATTTGCATGTGAATTTTTGTTTTCTTCCATAATTGCAACCGCAGATTTTCCAGTTTAATATAATTTTAAAAGCACTAAGAACTAATACACGATATATAGACGATCTTCTATTTATTTTTCAAAATCCAAGGGATTTTATTTAATTCTTAAAATTACAAAATCTACACACGATTCGCTGCAATTAACATAAAAGTTGAACACATTTCCAGGGCATTATTCCCAGTGCTAGTTCATTTATTTTTAAAATTTACATCAATATTTACAAACATACATGCGAGATTTAGATACAATCACAGTTGTTTGTAGTAAATTTATTTATATTTTCTTAGTATATAAAACAAAATGTCAACAAAAAAAAAAAAAAAACATTTAAAAATCTTTAGCTATGGAACCACTTAGCACATTTGTATGTAAGTGAACATACATACATATACATACGTGCTTAAATTAAAGATTTTTTCGTCACTTTAAACAAATTAATGCAACTAAAATATTTAGCGCTGCAGTTTGTTAAGGGAAGCACGTGAGGCATTAAATCAAAAATAAAAAAGCGGGCAAGAACTTTGTTGCATGCATGACGTAATGTATACTTAGTACGTAAATATGTACAAACAGAGTTAGGCATATATTAAATATACATATATACTCARGCGACACAATTATTTATCGAGGTGTGGTAGCATAAAGCACTTTTGGAACTTTTTACTGAAAACTTATTTATATCTACATACATATCTATGTATGTGTGTGAATTCAAAGTGCTTCATTGGCGCGTGGTATGGAGGTGCTTTCCTGTCTAAAAGTAATTTTTTACATATACACATGTATTTACATAGTAATATACCTATGTATGTATGTATGTATGCCATACATGCATATATAAAACATATGTCAGCATACGCATATATATAAACTTTCTACATAATTACCATGCACTATAACATAATTAAAGGCATGTGCTAATAAATTAAATAAATAAAATATTTTTTCTTTACAAATAATTGCAATATGTATTTACTAACCTGAATCTTGAAGTGCTACTAGCTGCTAAATCCATAAGGAGAGATATTTGTAATTAGCGCTGCATAGACGTTTAATCCCAACTAGTTTGTCGCAGATTATTTTATCAATAGCTTYTAAAATGCTGTAACACCGACTGCACGCTTAAAACTAGCGCGCTGTATCTTTATTAATTTTTGTATCACTTCTTTACACTTGATACCCACATTTGTTTTCAATGAGCATTAACTTTTTATACTGTTTCCACTTCCTGCAACATTTGTATTACGAGTTGCTAGCATAATTGCAAGAAACTATGCTAATAGCTCGRCGACAGCGAGTATTCACGTGAAACGGCTAGCACAACATCTACGGAAAGCGTGTGAAAGCATATTTATAATTTTGTTGATATAAAGTATTAAACACAACCACCCTACATTAGAACACCTGTTTTATTTGCAACAAATATATTTATTAAAAAAAAAAAAAACCGGCTACAATTGATGCTACCACAGGTGTTCACCGTAAGTTTATGGACATTCCCCAATTAAGCCAATAGTAGGAACAAATGAACCAGTAATTTCGCTACATACATACCATACATTTGCATTTATACACACATAAATAAAAAGCATTCGAGTTGAAATGTTATGCGTTCGCAGGGTATTCTTGTGTTCCTAAAGATGCACAGTTGGTATTAAATGGCTAGTGATTGCGGATATGTGGCAATGGAACTGTTTGTAATTGTTAAGTTTTAATACTATTTTAATATTAATTAATTAATTATATTCGAAATGAGCTTCTTGCATTTGAGCCTACATAATTACATATGTCCTGGCAGTTCAACTTTGAGCAACAAAACAAGTAGAGCAGTTGTGAACCCATTTCTGATTACTGCTGCTTTGGCGCAATACACTAAATGCTTGATAACGAGATTAAAGGTTTTCAATTAAATGCCTCTTAATTCGGCTCTTATCTTTCTTTTGCTTTTTACATCATTACAGCTAGATTTCTGGGGGCGTATAGTGCCTTGACTTCGTTTATTCTGTGAATTATTGAATGGTACTTTAATTTTACTAAGGTTATTGTGTCTGCCCCAATACACATAGCAAAAGGTGTCACTACAAACGCACACCATGCACTTTTTAATCGCATCATTAACAAATCGAAATTATTAGAATTCGGTTTCCATACACATTTTTTACAATATTTTCAGACATTTATCACATCGCCTTTTTCCAACATTTCAATGAAATTAATATTTACAATATATTATATTAGTTATAATTTTGCGTGTCATTAAATGTTGTTCATTTACTTTGTATTCTACCGTAAAATTGTTTATTTTTACAATTACTCTTTTTCCATCACCTGCTAATAGACACAATCGCGCGCTTCTKTAACCACCTTTTCGCAGTGAGTATAAAAAATCTTAACAAATCATTTTGTTTTGAACCCACATTACTGCAAAAAAGTACGTCAATTTCGGTTCCGGCGAAACAAATGTCAAAGAAAGAGCCCCGTAGTAGGGTGACCAACTCTCAACAAACCAGCAATGCCAATATTCGTTGGTTGATTGACACCATATTTTTATAATATATTATACATTTTTGTACACATGATTTCAATTATTTAATTGAATATTGATTTATTTTATTTTACTTAATACGATAACTAATCAGTATTATAATTTTTCAATTTCGATCATATGAATATGAATATGTGATTATGTATTACATTTAAACATAATCTATAACACGCTTCTGGGCTACCCGTTGGTTCCACATTACAAGGTCGAAGCGAATTCGAGCAGCTGTTTGCAAACTGTCAAAACAAGTGTCATTTTTTGTAATCGAGAACGAGTCTTATGCAATGTCAAGCAACTAGGTAAAACAATTTTAAAGCGTTTACTTGGATACTATTTATCTAAATGTTTAAAAATTTAATTTGTAGGTTGCTGTAAAGGGAGAGAAGGTGAAGCAGAAACCACCACGTTCGCATACTACGTTAATTAGAAGCATTTAACGCCAARTTGTGCGCATTAACTTCATAGTCTAATCGGTTAAAGATGTTCCGAAAAGTTTTATTTGCTACACCAGCTACAGCTGTGCTTTTCGCTGCTGTGCCTGTTAAACAGTCGGATGTGAAAGCAGCTGAAAATGTGGACGYAAATACCAATTTCACGTGCAAGCCAAGTGATCTGCCACTTTATCAATCCTTGCACGAATTACACAGGTTTGTTTTGTTTKCCACAATGTGTTTACAAATATAAATACATGTTTTTATTTGTTAGTACTAAGAAGGAATCGCATCCACCAAAAGACTCGCCGACTCGCCAATCTATTGAGAGTGGCATAYGCGTGGTACGCACGCAAATTCAATCTGGTCTCAATGTGCTTGCTGAGCAGAAGGCACATTTCGACCACTATTATGAAACGGGCAAAGCGCATACCCAATCGACTATCGATTATTTGAATGAGCCGCAGAATATATTGCCACGTAGCGGTGCTATCGCAGTCGGTGGTTTGTCGGGCTTCATTTTTGCTGCGCGTGGTGGTTTCATTAAGAAAGTGTTGTACACAACTATAGGTGCTGGCACAGTGGCTTCACTTTGCTACCCTAAACAGGCGGAAGTATTTGCACGAGATGCCCTGGTACAGGCGCGCAAAGGTTATGCCATTGCYTACAATTTCGTAAAGGGTGTGAAACCAGGCGACGAAGTAACGCCCGAACCTGTCAGTAAATTCCCCACAAGCATGGAAGACTTGAAATATCTAGCYTTAGATCTGTATGACGAAGCGAAAGAGGCGATATTTGGCAAGAAGCAATAAACAAAACTAGTAGTGGATATAGTAACAAAGAAAGTCAAATAACGAAAGCAAAACTTAAGGATGTCACCGCATTAAATTTATAGTGAATTATGAAGAGTGGAAAATATTATGTAATACAATATTTAATATTGTGCTTTAAGTGAGTGCAAAAGCAGCTTCGAACAATGTTAATATTCACAAAAATAAATATCTAAACAATTGGAGTTTAGGTAACTTTGCGAAATAATTGTAACTCTACAATAGTTAGCTCCTTTTTAAATAAAACGAAATAATAGTAAATTTCAAATAATGTAATACTTCAAGAATTATGCAAACCAATTATCCACTTAAAAACAAAATAAATGCGAAGCGAAAGACGAATAAGTTATTCAAAGTATTTCATTTGGAAAACGCAAATTCTGGTACGTACTGTTAATGCATCTAAAGCATAGAATATTGGAGCTAAACAGTGCGAAGTTTTTCTTACAAATTAACTGAAAAACGTTCAATATCTTTAATTTTGCAATGAGTTAGAATTAAATATCAAAAGAAATTCGTATTTGCTTTTGTTCTTAACGTAGTCTAGTCTTTTGTAATTCAACGATTAATAAATCAAGTCTGTTTAGTTGGCATCCGGTCAGATCGCTTATTGTGAATGATGCTTTAATTGTGAATGGAAAAKTTTAACAGATGTTATAATTTTTGCTGCCAGTTTTGTATTTTCTTATCTACATTCTTTAAAAACAGGGCTATATTTGAAAAGTTTGAATAGAATGTTGCGGTTATGAATTCAGCATGARTTTAATACAAATTATTTCAAAATGGTTTAATTTCAATATTATATATGTTTTTGTCACACATGTGACATGTGTTTAGAAAAAGTGATTAGATTTAAAAAAAAAGGGAAATTTGGCGCTAACAACTTTGGTTATTCTTACTTCTACTTGCGGTTTACCAACAAATGGAGAGCAACCTCAGAGCTACCTCAAAAAGAATGATACATTTTTAGAAGCAGGCGTCTCATATCACACAAATATTTGCAATTACGAAAGGGCATTTACAGTTATTGCCTCGGATATATCATACGTATGTATGTATGTCCGCCGCTGAGCACTTATATGTCCCACCTGAGAGGCATCCTGTACTCAATGCCTCCGGTTAGCATGCAAGTTGAATTTMACAAAGAAATCTACATATGTATATGTATATGAAATAGTGATCAGATAAAGAAGAAAAGAGCCGCAAAACAATTCAACAATTGAAGACTATATCCGAAAAATCGAAAAAGCAGGTAAGAGGCCAACAAATGTMACAACAAAAATGTGTTCAATTGTTTTGCACAGCACTTTTCAAAAAGTGAAATTCACATTTCTATGCGATTGTTAATAGGTCAATGCAACACCAATTCATAGCTAAATCTGTGGGTACAAAAAATGAAGTGTTTGCCTTTTTATTTTCCTCATTTTTGCACACCTTATTTTCGTTTATTCATTACACTCTATTCCGCCATTCATAAGCATGAAACAGTGGAAAAAAAGTGGTGAAGATGGTGTTTTTTTTATTGTGTAAACGTTTTTTTTTTTTTATAGTTCCAATAGTATGTTACAATATACATAATAATTGAAAATGCCAATCATCATTTTGATATGACTGTCGGTAATTTTTTATGCTTTAATTTTAACAGGGTGTGCACACTGACTGAAAATATGTTTCAACGAATAACTTGCATTTGGAAATTAGATAAAGATTCTTGTTTTTGCGTTTGTTGGCCATAAGGAACGTTTAAATTGCCAACTCACCATTGCACCATAAAAGGATCGTCATCCCACGCGAGTGGTGTAGTCACTAAAACACTCCCTTGCCCAGGGACAGCTTRAGGATGGAGCAATGTGTAGAAGTTTGAGCGTCMTTCACTTGGGAGTGGCCATAAATGATTATTTTACTTTTTCAATGTGCTAGCGAGCTAAAGCRAGAAGGCGAATCATTAGTCCGCAGCGTTGTGCGTTGGGTAGCGTGTCCACGTAAAAAAGAAATTAAACCAATGTAAAGTTCAAGACAGTCTGCTGTTTTAAACTGGACTACAACAGCGTAAGCGGCGTCTACGCCAATAAATAAGAAGAAGGGACAATTTATTCGTTACTTCAGAGCACATTTTGCACGATGGATCAATTACAGGTCAATATCAACATTCTCAGCGTACTGCGATGCTTAYTATCAAGATACAGTGGTGGTCCTATAATTAGAAACGACTTTGCTGCATATAGTTTTCTCAATTTATTTTAAAAATTTAGATTGCCACATTAAAACTATAAATTGGAATCAACAAAAAACACATTTTATTTGAGTTTTACATAAAAAAATCGACAATATTAATTCTACTTTTAAGAAAATGAGGTAAACACAAAGAACACAAAATTCGGTTTGATCATACATATGTATATGCAATAACAAACGACAGTTACAACTTAAAAATGTTTATATAAAATCGAAAATATTGACGCAATATTTTTATATTTAATAAAA